AAAAAAAAAAAAAAAAAAAAAAAAAAAAAAAAAAAAAGGCATATACTAGAAAGCGGTGGTCATCTAAGAACAAACTAGATGTTCTTAGATGAACATGGGAAACATTCATGCTCTTTAACTCAAAGACTTAAAAATAATAGGTTGCATTCGAAAACAAGGACAATAGAAAATACTTCATGGTAGCTTGAGGTGTTTTAGGAATTAACATTCTGGACATCAAGTGCTGTGAGAGCCACAGAACGTCTGACACACCACAGACTCAGTGAGTTGTATGGAACTGAGAGACTGAATGGAGGGAAGAAAGGAAGGAAAGAAAGAAATAAAAAAACAGTGAAAAAAAAGTCTAGGCCGTCACATATGTGGGCGATGACTCATAGCTTGAATGACCTTAGATAAGTCCCTTTACCTCAGCCTCAGTTTCTCCTCTGAATACAAATGCTTCTTTCATCAGTTTGTTGGGAGAGACAAATGCAATAACGTAGGTAGAAAGACATGTGCTTGAGGGCACCTGATAGTCATAAGACCTCCGCTGTCGATCAGCATCAGTTCAGCGCAATATACTTCATCAAATATTTACTGAGCCTCGCCTCTGTGCCTGGGGTTGTACCCAGGTGCTGGAACTGGATGAGAGATGAAGATGCCTGGAAGGTTTGCTATTCGGAAAATGGCACCTAGAAGGGAGGCAGAGGCAGGTTCTGTGTCTTAGGACTTCTACTTAATTTGCATATATTCACAATAGGTCCCCTCAACTCCACGCTGGTCCCATCACCCCAGTCCTTGCTCATAGAAAGCTCACAGTCAATAGAGGAGCAAAGTCTGTAAGCCCCAAATTCCACAGTGGAATGGTCAGTGTAACCACAGTGGTACCATGCCAGAGGCGCGGAGGGAACAAGGACATTGATGGAGCGAGTAGGGCAGTGGGATAAAGGTGCATGAAGCGGAGGGCGTGTGGGCTGGATCACGGAATCAACAGGAGTTGACACAGAAAGGAGACACAGAGGAAGGGCATTGCAGATAGCAGGCAGAATGTACAAAGCCAAACAGGAGATTTCTAGTTCCAGAATCTTTTATTTATTTATTTTTAATGTATTTAGTACAGGGTCTTACTACACAGATTGGACTCATAGAGTGATCCTCCTGTTCTCAGCCTCTCAAGTGCTGAGATTATAGGTGCGCATCACAATGCCGAATGCTGTGGATCGAACCCCGGTTCCTGCGCTTTGCCTAAGCAGGCGCTTTGTCTGCTGAGCTATCTGGCAGGCCCTTCTAGTTCCAGATTCTGCTGAGAAGTAGCTTGCTTGATTTTGTTCTGTCTTCCCCCGCTTTTTTTTTTTTTTTTTTTTTTGAGACAGGATCTCACTATGTAGTCCATGCTGGACTTGAACTCACTATATAAACTTAGCGCGATCCCCCTGCTTCAGCCTCTCGAGTGCTGGGATTACAGGCGTGTGCCACCATGCCCAGCTTGAGAGTTGGCTCTTGCTGACTGTTCCCCAAGTCCCTCTGGGATTTCAGCCTTATCTCAGGAAATGAAGGTTAGGTGGCACGAGGCAATTTAGATTTACTGCAAAGCGCTGTCTATCTGGCTAGCTCCATGTAGAAAAAAAAAAGAGCAACTCTGAAATCATCGTCATTTTTAGGGCAAGAGTCAGAAGCCCCCTAGTAGTGATGGTGAGGATGATGGGCACAGCCTGAAGCCCCTGGGAGGTTTTTGCCCACATGAGTTCACTCACTTTGCCAGTACTTGGAAGAGCACCCCAACCAGGCCCAGGGTCACTAAGAAGACCGTAGGCCAGCAGAGGGAGACAGACACTAAACAAGGTACACAGCCAGCCCTCACATGCTTGGACTCGCAGGATTTTGACTTTCTGACGCTGCAAAAATGTCCCCAGACTGAAGTCAGGCATGGTAGCACCATCTGTCACCCACTTCTCCGGAAGCTGAGTCAGAAGTGTCGCTGTAGGTTCGAGGCCAGCCTGAGCAAGCAAATTCAAGACCGGCCTGGACTACATAGACTGTCTCAAAAATCAAAATGCGGAGCCGGGGAGATGGCTCAGTGAAATAAGCGCTTCCCTGGCAAGCGCAAGGGCCTGAGTTCAATCCCCGGTTCTGAAAAAAAAAAAAAAAAAAAAAAATCAAAATCTACCTATACCATTATTGTGGTTTTTCACTTTCAGTACAGCATTGAATGAGATATGAAATATTTAATCCTTTATTACAAGATAAACTTTATGTCAATTGCTTTTGCTCAACTGCAGGACGATATATTCTAAACACGTTTAAGGTTAGACGGGTAATGTATTGTCGACTTAATAAAATTTTCAGTTTAAGACGGGTTGGTTATTCCAGATGTGACTGCATCATCCTAAATCTGGGGGCATCTCTAGTTGGAAACTGGATTAGGACCCTATCCCTAATCCTACCCTAACCCCAACCTAACTGATACCTGTCTGCACAAGATGAGTATGCCGCGGCAAGAAACAGAATCGTGGACACATACAGGTCACTTGAAGGGATAGGTGGCAGGCCTGTCTCCTAGTCAACTTCTGGCTTCTGCGTCCTGCATCTCCTTCCCCAGGAGGTCACGAACTCTTTCAGCTGCCAACTCTTTGTCAGGGCGACAGGTTGACTTCTCTTCCAGCGGCAGCCTTCCGGGCTTGGACAAGAGGCCCGGTTGCGATCCGACCCGAGCAGCCATTGCGGGCGCGGGCGTGGGAGGCGGGACTCCAACCCGAGTAGCCAATAGGACGCGGGCGTGGGAGGCGGGACTCCAACCCGAGCAGCCAATAGGACGCGGGCGTGGGAGGCGGGACTCCAACCCGAGCAGCCAATAGGACGTGGGCGCGGGAGGCGGGGCCCTGCTCGTCCCCAACCGAGTAGCGCCGCTGTCCCAACTGCAGTGCTGAAGCCAGCGCCTTCTCTGCCGCACCGAGTTGAAAGTTCCGGTTCTGAGCTCGCAGCCAGACCCCGAGAGGTCGAAGAGGGCAACGTCTGCCTTCTGTTGATTCGCGTCTTTGGTACCAGCCCGTGGACGCCAGGGCAGGCGTGCGGGTGAGCGCGAGCGTCCTTGCAGGTCGGTGCGGCGGGATCCAGCCTCGGCGGGCGCCCAGACCAGGCATCTCTACCCCCGCAGGCGCTCGCCCTCCCGCCTCACCTCTGCCAGCCCCGCCGTCGACGATGCGGCTGCTCGGGAAGCTGCGCCCCTCGGCTCCGGAGCCCGCTTGCTCCAACGTGCTCACCCCGGGCCGCATCCCCGAGTTCTGCATCCCACCGCGGCTGCCCCCACCCACCCCGCCCGAGCCACCGCTGCCTGCAGGGGTGCTGCCACGCCGCTGCGCCGCCGAACCGGACCTGTGGCCGAGCGCCACCGACTGGGACCCGCGCTCGCAGGCCGCGCTCTCGCTCTCGCACCTGCCCCGCGCGCGCACCGCCTACGGCTTCTGCACGCTGCTCGAGAGCCCGCACACGCGCCGCAAGGAGTCGCTCTTGCTCGGGGACCCCGC